TCCCCAGCCCTATTTTGTATTTTATTTAGAGACAGGGTCTCACTGAGTTGCTTAGCACTTCACTTTTGCTGAGGCTGGCTTTGAACTTGCGATCCTCCTGCCTCCACCTTCTAAGCGTCTGGGATTACAGGCATGAGCCATCCAGCTGGGCCTTGTAAAAATATTTTGGAAACAATTTCCACAGTGAAATTTCAGTGGGTTCCTTGGGCAGTTTCCTGGTTTCCAACATGACAGAGTGCACGGGTCAAACTATGGCCTCTCTCTCCCTCCCTGTAGAGTTGGCCTCCCAGAGCCATCTGGACCTCACGGAGCTCATTGGTGTCCCGCTGCCCTCATCTGTGTCCTTTGTCACGGGCTACAGTGGCTTTCCCGCCTACAGCTTCGGGCCTGGCGCCAACGTGGGCCGCCCGGCCAGGACCCTCATCCCGCCCACCTTCTTCAGGGACTTCGCGGTCAGCGTCACAGTGAAGCCCAGCAGCCCCAGCGGCGGAGTGCTCTTTGCCATTACCGATGCCTTCCAGAAGGTCATCTACCTGGGCCTGCGGCTCTCCGGCGTGGAGGACGGACGCCAGAGGGTCATCCTCTACTACACGGAGCCCGGCTCCCACGTGTCCCAGGAGGCTGCCGCCTTCTCCGTGCCCGTGATGACCAACAGGTGGAGCCGCTTTGCTGTGATCGTCCAGGGCGAGGAAGTGACCCTCCTGGTGGACTGCGAGGAGCACAGCCAAGTCCTTTTCCAGCGGTCCTCCCGGCCTTTGGCCTTCGAGCCCAGCGCTGGGATCTTCGTGGGCAACGCAGGTGCCACTGGACTGGAAAGATTCACGGTGAGTTCAAGCCCATTCCTGCAGATCAGGGAGGCCCGCGGACATCCATGCCCCATGCACTGGATTCTAGGTGCTATTCTTGTTTTACCCTTCCGCTCTTGAAAAGTCCTGCCTGTTAGGGTGGGGGGAACCTAGGCTTGGAACCCAAATCCCTGGGCTCCAGGGCTCCCTTTTAAACTCTGCCTGCTGATTCCAGATACTATCGGATTCTCCAAGTCTCTCTGTTTTCTTATCTGAACATGGAGATAAGAAAACCTGTTTCACAGGCTTGTAGAATCAAGTGAGATCTGTGGAAACACTCTGTACATTTTAAGCCATGATCAAGAGTAAGGTTATATCCTTAAAAGGATTTTATCTTTGAACATCTTTGAAATTACTTAAGTAATTTCTTCAGAGGAGGCCTAATCTAGAATACCAAAGTGAGAGGTAACTGTCTCTCCTTTTGGATCGTGTGCCCTGATACAAAACATCAACAAACGGACTTTACTATCATTAGAATGAGCTTTTAGGAATAAGCCATTCTAAAGAAAATCCCTGAGTTTTTGTGAGGATTCGTTGACTCCCACAGGTATTTACTGACACCTGGTTACTGAGCCAGCAAAGGCATGGAGTGGCGTTTCTGTTTATTTGTACACGGTGGGAGGCGTTGGAGAAGGGTAAGGAGTTAGTCTGGCAGGCAGTTTTCACATGCCCACTTTGAGTGTCTGGTGGAGAATGAGCTGCCAGGTGGGGGAGCCGGTGAGCATAGAGGCCCAGAGGCTGCAGAGGCTCTTCCTGGGATGAGGCCACCCACCTGGAGGAAAGGCTTTCTGGGAGCAGGAGATGGGCTCTTCAGGGCCTGCTGCTGACAAGCTGAGCCCTGGGGACAGCTAGAAGGCTGCTGTGGTAGGCCCTGCTTGAGCACAAAGCTCTCCAAGGGCCTTTCTAGCTAAGGGAGGTTCACATTATTTTGTCCAAGAGGTAGGCTGTGCTTCTTATTCTCCATGACACAAACAATCCCGTTTCCACCAGAGTTGCTGTGGATGTGCAATTGACCCATGGTTTCTGCTTCCTTTTGCTTATCCCTACCCAGGGTTCCATCCAGCAGCTCATCATCCACTCAGACCCCCGAACTCCGGAGGAGGTGTGCGAAGCCCAGGAATCGTCGGTGAGCCCCAGCACGCTCGGCCAGGGAGCGCCGGGCGCCCAGGCAATCCGTCATCCCCAGTGTCATGGACTCTCTGAAACCTCTCATCTTGGCAGGCGCTGCCCCAAGTCCTATTTTGGGCTTTTGGCTTTATTTCACTTTTTAAAGAGCTGTAGCCATCCCTTTGGTATGGGGGTTTGTGCGTCTTATAAGGTGTTAAATTCTTCCATGGCTGTGCAGTCAATGGCCTGGTTTCCAGGTTCCCTGCCAAGGAGAGTGTCAGATTCTAAAATCAGAGTTAAGAGTTTAAGATATTCTGGGTGTAAATTCCTATAAAAATGAACCTAAATTTAGATTAGTTTTATGCCTGGCAAGTGCATCAGTTCCTAAGTTGGGGGTGGGGTGGGGTGGGGGGGGAGGGAAAAAAGATGGCTCCCTCTCTTCCTCCTTCCTTCCCTCCAGGATTTGCTGAGCAGCAGGGTAGATAAAGGCTGGGGAGGGAAGGATAACCTGGGAACTATCTCCCTCCCCCAGCTTCTTGCACATGCTTACACACCCAGAGGCAGTGACTGAACTGAGTATGTCCTCAGACCCGACTCAGCATGGAGGGGGCTCAGGGAGAGAAAACAGGAGGAACTGGGAGCACATCAGGGTGAAGGCTGTCTGAGAGCCCTTCCAGGCAGACGGGACAGACGGCAGGATGCCAAAGTCAGAGGCAGGCAGCCGGAGGCGTTTCCCTAGGAGTTCTGTTGCTCTCTGGGTGGTGTCAGTCTCCAAACAAATCATAAGGTTGATTTCATTAATTTTGCACTAAAAAAGGAAGCAGGTATTGATGGAGTTGGAAAGCCATGCAGAGGAGGAATTTGGCTGTGTCTGAATGTTTGTGCTCCTTGAGCCTGGGACCTGGCCTGGCAGTCATAGGAAGCCGGAAGAAAGGGAAGCTTACGTGTTGTCACTCATTCAACTCTGCACTGCCATTGATACTGAAGAAACAGGAACAACCCAAGAGCCCGAGAGCAAGGGTTCAGTTGCAAAATCCCAGAGCACAGGCTGCTTGGCTGCCTTTAGGAGGCTAATTACAGAGATTAGGTAACAACAGGAAGTCTTACTTCAGGGCTAATGGTTCCTAAAGTGGGATTTCCATGACAGTCTTCCAGAGTGGGAATGAAGGAAGTTGACGTGTTAAGAGAGACTGAAAAGTGATGGACTTTGTTTGAGCAATGAAAAGTGGAAAGAAAGAGAATAGCTACCCATGCACAGGCACACATGCTGCCCCTTCAACTCCTCGATCCCTGTGCTGCACGCATGCGCACATTTCCATGCGCATGTATCCATGTACCCTGGTGCACACTGTCTCATAGTTCCTCTGCAAGAGTCTTGTTAGTTTCTGATTGGCCCAATTGCTATGTTCCTATGTAATGGCTCCCTTTGTGGGGCATGTGGTTTGTCTCCTCGCAGGCATCAGGAGAGGGCAGCGGGCTTCAGGACCCGGACACAGTGGCCGAGATCTTAGAGGCCGTCACTCACACTCAAGCCCCGGTGAGTATGGACTGCTGCTCCCTGTGAGCTGGGTCAGCTGTTGGGGGCTGGTGCCCAGGGCCCAGGATCTGACATCTCTGCTTTCAGATCTGGGAGGTCAGTTGTGGGGTCCTCTGGGGAGGCCAGGAGGGCACTGGCCAGTGGGCGTTTGGCAACCTCCCGGTTCCCCTGAATGCGTAGCCATGAGAGGACTGTGCAAGGTAGGCATCGTGCACTACTGTGGCTTTGGATGGCTTCTCAGCTTGCCTGAACTTCAGCTGCCCTTCCCCAGACCGGCAACAGTGGTAGTCCTCTCTCCCCGGGTATGGCACGAGAGAGATTTTGTGGCAGCAGGGGCACATTTCAGCCTAGTGCCTGGCTCCAGGGAAGTGACTCTGAAAAATGACTGCTGTGGCATTTTCTAGGAGAGAGCACACACAGTTGGGCCTCCACTCCAGCTGTGAGGACTGCTAGAGCACAGTGGGGCCCCACTCCTGTGAGCTGCCAAGCCACCCCAGCCCCATGGGAAGGGCTGCCCTCCTTCTGGTGTTCGACCTCTTGCCTGCTGGGAATGCCCACTGTGGCCTGTGGCCGAATTATTTTTGTGCTCAGTGATTTAGCAAGGAGCATCTCCATCACTGAGCACAGAAAGTTCCAGCAGCCTCCTCTGGACTGGCTTACTTTGTGAGCTCACCTCTTATAGAAGACAGAGAGAGAGGTGTCAATGAGACAAAGGCTGCAAACTCTAGACTTAGGGTGACAGGGATGTGGATGCTGTGGAATAGGACTGTATTTGTTAGTGCTGGAGGGACTTGTCACTTCTTGTACAGGAGTGTACAGAAAACTGCTCCTAATGCAGATGGGCAAACTGAGGTCCAGAGAGAGAAAGAAATTGGCCCAAGGGTGCCTAGGCGCAGGTCTCCTGATGCCCACCCATGCATTCCTGGCTCAGGAGGATTGTGAAAGTCTGTCCCCAGAATGGAGATCCATTCTTGGCTAGGATGAGGGAACTTAAGGGTCCAGTGGGCCTGCCCAGCTGGTGACTAGGGAGGGTGGCCACTCTGGGCAGTGTTATAATCCCCTGCACCCATCAGCCCTGGGCTACTCTGTCGAGGACACAGGACATCAGGGCACAGAGTGGTGGTCCCTCAGGGCTTGGAGCCGAATGCTGCTCCTAGCATACCAGTCCCATTTGGAGGGAGGCCATCTCAGACAGAGATGATAATAACCCAGGGTAGCCTCAGAGAGGGACAGGAAAAGAGAATTGGATCTGAGAATGTGAGATGGTCACAGGGATGGGAGCTTGGGAGGGGTCAGAGGAGCCAGGCGACTCTGGAGCCAGGCAGGGGAGAAGTGGCATTTCTCAGCACCCACTGCGGGCCTGGCATTCTTGCCCACAGGATGTCACTGATTTCTTGCAACCACCTTACCAGGGAGGCAGCAGAAGCCCCACTATGCAGATGTGCAAGGGGATGTCCAGGAGGCCAGGTGGCCCTACCAAGGACACATGGTGGCAGAGTCAGGAACTGAGCCTGGCCTGACAGACTCCCCAGCCTGGCCCCCCCTCACAGGACATGGTACCGCAGGTTCAGGGGCAGAGGGAGGTCACAGATCGGCCAAGAGCCTTGTGAGAGAAATTCCCAGAGGACCTGGAGAAGTGGCAAAGTGGCTGGTGATTTGGTGGCCTTCGTGGCCTCTGGGGCATCCCAAACACTTTCTCAGATTCCCTGCCCCACTTTTCTTAAAGATTTTAAGAGAACTGGTGCAGATAAGAGTCCTACTCAGTGTGGAACTTACAGTCAGAACTGGATCAAATCCCAGCTCTCTGCTTATTAGCTAAGTTATGTTGGGCAAGTCACGTAACCTCACTAAGCTTGGACTCTGGTGAATGCTGGCAGAGTGCTTGGCACCGGCAGCTTGTGGGGGGTGCTTGCTGGGGTTGGTGGAGTGATGGGCTTCTTGTGAGGACCAAGGGAGACAAGGCCTCAGATGAACTCAGTTCAGGGCTAGGAGAGACTGGCATAGCGCAGATGCCCATTCCTCTTGGGGCCTCTTCCTACCACCTGCTTCCTGGTTGGCTGGTGGCTGGTGGCTGGGGCCCACAGGCTGCCAAGCCCCAGGGCTGCCCTCTGTGGTTGAGGATTGCCCCTGATCCGTGGCTCTGGGCCTGGCGGTCCTGACCCTGATTGGTCCATTCTGATCCTCAGGATCCTTCCCCTGGGCACCCCTCCATCCAAGCAGGGTTCACGTTTGGCCACGTGTTCACACTTCCTTAGGTCCTGTCTGTAGGGAGGTGTTTTGGAATCTACTTTCTAGAAGGCACAGAAGAAAGGAGCCATGAGAGCTTGGCCTGGGGGCCACCCAGCCTGGAGGTGACACAGCCCCGTCTCCAGGTCTGGGTGGGGGGTGCTTCCCGTACCTCCCAGAGCTGAGACTTCTATCATTATCATCTCCAGGAAGGGCTCCATGGCTCCTTCTCCCAGCCACCCCTCCAGGTGGGGAATCTGCCCCTTCACCTCAGATGGTCCCCGCCTTCTCTATCTGACTTCCTTCTGGGAATGAAGCTCACTTCTCCATCCTCTGCCTTATCTGCCTGCACCTTCCAAGACATGAGCCATAACCGTTGAACTGAACCGTGGACTGTCTGCCGGGTCAGGGACTTAAAAAATCAGTCCCTCCTTGCCTTTCTCCTCATTCCTGTCTCTTGTGTTGAGTTAGCTTTTTTGTGAAGGGGCAAATTTGTGTATGAGAAGTTATAGGCTCCACTTTTGCATTTCTGGAAAGTTCTGTTTTATGATGAATAAGAATTAATATCCCTCTCAACCCTGGGGCGACATCCAAGTCACCTCTGCCTAAGTGTGTGTGTGGTAAGGAAGGGGGTGGGGCAGGTGGAAGGGGTCTTTCAATAAAAACTCCTGCCTGAGCTGCTCACCTGCAAGTTCCTGGTCCAAGCCCCTCTCACCACCCCCTCCTGCACCTTGCCTCTCAGGCTCTGTCCCGCTTCTTCTCCAACCCTGGGCCTTTGCCAAGCTCAGGTTGTCAGGCCCTGAACTTGTCCACCCTTCTTTCTAGCCCTGTTTTCTGTAACTCAGTTCACTCTTCAAGGCCCAGCTCCCTGCAGCCATCACTCCCACCCTCACCCTGGAGATTGTATACGACAATAAAATTGACAAGTGATTTTTCTCTGAGTGTTGGTATTTAAAGTGATTATTTTCTGTTTTTGTTTATCTCCTCGTGCAGCTTTTTCAGTAACGAATATGGGATGTTGGTGTATTGACAATAAAGGTGTGCTGAGCATTTCCATGCCCTTTCAACCTCTGAATACATATGATTGTCCCCACTGGACAGAGCAGGAAGCTGAGGCTCAGTGAGGTTACGTGACTTGCCCAACATAACTTAGCGAATAAGCAGAGAGCTGGGATTGGACCCAGTTCTGACTGTAAGAATGGAATCATCAAATTATGGGGAGCCTGAGAATCTTCCCTGTTCTGATGGGTCAGAGATCCACGGTGTATACACTAGATTCTGACAATGAAGAAATATCCTTGTGTTGTTACAATAGATAAGTGATGCTGCATTAAGACACTAACCCTGAGGTCTTAGCATCTTAACAAGATCTGTTTCTTGTTCATATCACAATTTGGACACTGGGCCCTTCCCCTCATCCCTCCTCCTCTAGCAGCCTTCTTCTTAGAAAGTGATGAGACCATTTGGATGCCAACAAGCCCTGGGTCTCACGAGCTGCTGCTGCTGCGGCTGGGAGTGATGTGACCCTTAGGACCTGCATTGGGATTTCTGCTTGGATCTCTGAACTGCTGTTTCCAGCTGTTAAGTTTTTGTGTGTTTGATTTTCCCTAGTAGGTAGGGTTGGTCAGGACACTGGCTGTGGTTGGAGAAGCTGCACAGGTGCTAGAGTGTCCCTGGAAGGAAGCCACTGCATCTTTCATATTCATAGGCCTTCAGCAGCAGGACACACCTGGGCTTAGGCTGGTGTGGTAGTCCCAGTGCAGTGGGGCTCATGCACTGGGCCGCTCATTCGTTCCCTCACCCAGTGCATCTTCACTGGGCACTTCCTCTGTGCTGGCCCTGGCTTCCGGATGACAGAACTGTGGTCCCTGTGCTCAGACCTGTGGCTGAGATGAGCAGAGTCTTGCTGTGAGCTGACCGGGATTTAGTATGATCCAATGAGCATGGCTCCAGGCCCTGGGAGGCAGGTGTGGTGATGGCCCCGGACACGGCAAGGGGGACTCAGCTTTCTTGGCTTATTCAGCACTTTGTGGATGAGTTATTTTCTCCTCTGAAAGTCACTGTCCTTTTTTTTTTTTTTTTTGAGCTTTTCTGTCAAGTCAATCCTTTTGGGTCTCATTTTTCATCCTTTCAGCCTAAAGAAGCAAAAGTGGATCCCATAAATATACCTCCCACTTCACCCTCTCCCTACGAGGACACCGAGCTTTCTGGTGAACCCATACCAGAGGAGACCCCAGAAAACACCTCCAGCGTTGTCCAGCACAGCAACCTAGAACCAGGCAAGTCTTGAGGCCCAGGGACAGGGGATGGCTTTTCGCTGAGTGGTTGCTGGGTTTCCAGCCTGGGGACATTTCACACCACTGTTACAACCCAGGCCAGAGCTCTGAGGTGTGGGGACAGGGTCATTTCTAGCAGTGCTGTTCCTAATAGCAAAAACAACCCAGAGTGCCCATCATAAAGAATGGGTGGGCAAACTCTATGTCACTAGTATCTTCCCCATTGATGTGGAATCTTAATGACCCAGAAATATGCTCTTGGTTTATTCCACTGAAAAAGCAGATTTCAAAACTTTGTGCTGACCTTGTTTTGAATATATGTTATTTATATCCATTTATGAATAGCTATGTAGATCAATGTGGCTATATTAGATATAACCTATGAGATGTTACAAAATGTTAGGAGCAGTTATCTCCAGTTATCTCTGGGTGTTAGGATTGTAGGTGGGATTTTATTTTTCTTTGTTGGACTTCTGTATTTTCTAAGTCTTCTGTAATAATATTTATCATTACTCTTTTTGCTTCTCCATCAGTTAATGAACTCTAGTCTAATAACTAGGTTTAGGAAGTTGGTGGTTAAGAGATCATATACAATATTGGACAGAAGAAAATTGTATAGTAATTTAATAAAGTTATAGTAAAACCAAGAAGTGAGGCTGTAGCTGCGAGAGCCAGAGGGTCCTGGGACACAGCTTGAATGGAAGCCCTGCACAGGAGCCTATTTACTGAGGGCCTGGGGCAAGGAACTGAGCATTTCCCAGCCTTAGAGTCCTTAACCAAGCATGTCAGTAATCCTGCCTTCCAGGTGAATGTGTCAGAAGTGATTTTGAGTTGCAAATGCTGTTCTGGTGGACTTGCAATCCCTAAGGAAGGGGCAAGGAGCTGTCAGGGCAGAGGGCAGGGCAAGGACTCTCCTAGTTTGAGCAGGCAGAATTGGAATGGAGAGTGACCCAGAACCCAGCACAGCTCACTGTGCCCAAGATCAGCCTAACTTTTTAACCTGCCCCTCAAAGGCCAGAGGAAAACCAGGGACTGACTAAAATGTTCCTTTCAATCTTGTTTTGTAGACAACCCAGATGATGGAGAGAAGGAAACCTGCACCCTGAGCATTATCCCTAGCTAGGGAAAGCCCCCACATAGTTGTATTACCAGCTTCCCCAACAGCCCTACCTGGCCTCCACCCTCCCAGGGTCAGGAAAGAGGCTAAAGACCCACGGGCCGCTTGCACAGCGCCCCCTGGTGGTCAGTGCAGGGAGGACACCCGCATCCCGCGGGTGCCTGTGCTCTGTAGTTCAAGTTCCTGGTGGCACAGGGTCCTTTAGAGAGCCTAACACTTCCCCCACACAGTTCTGCCCAGGGGGTGAGCGACCTCAGTGTGCAGAAGGATCCCGGTCTGGAGACGGGTCCTCCCAGCTTCAAGGCCCCTACTTCAGCCACTACTCTGTGAAAATTATTAGTGAAAGGTTTCATTGTGCCCACAGGAGCAAGACACATGCTCTGGTGATAGTAGGGAGGCAGAATCCTGGGATTCCTGCCCGGCTCTTCCCAGGCAGCCTGATAGTAGGATAGGTCCCAGTTAGAATTAATGACTGGCTGGGGGATTAAGGGAGGGGTGGGGGTGAGGGATGGGGTGGATAACAAGCATACATTTACTTTAGTGTAATTTCTTTTTCTTTGCTTTAGGTCTCTATGTTTTTTAAATTATAAAATAAATGTGTGCATGTGGTAACAATTTAATCAATACACAGTTGTATGAGCGATAATAGTTTCCTCTTCTCCTTCCACTCCTATCCTCTTCAAGATACAAATATTAAGTACTGTGGTTTAGCCAATTATGTCTATATAAACATATAGACACACCCATACATGTATGTTAGATAATATCATTGTATAACATGAATGTTATAAAATATATAATAATGATAGAACATGTATAGTCATATATAGTTTGGGGTTTTTTTTCTATATTTTACAAATACAGAACCACAATAACAATGAAAGTTTATCAGTCGCTTCCTATATGCTGTGAACTTTTCTCAATGCTTTTCTTGCATTAATTTATCAATTAATCCTCCAAACAACCCTATGAGGTGGGAAGTATTATGATCCCTCATTTGTAGGTGACCAGCTTGCATCATACGCTAAGCAATCTGCCACAGGTCACATTCCTGGTAAACGGCAAAGCAGAATTCCCAGCTGGTGGAGGTACCAGAGCTGGTGATGGAAGCCACCAAGCAATATTACCTTACCCTCTTGTTCTGCAACGTGTTTTTTTTTTCTTCTTAATCTAATGTTATGCTGTTACACCTTTCCAAATTACACCAAGCTAGCAGGTAAAGAGACAGTTCATTCTTTTCCAACAATGAAAAATGTAGTTATTAATTACAGAATGCCTTCTTCCTGTAGGGTCAGGTGAGATCCTGAATGACACCCTGGAGGGACTTCCTCCTGTGGATGGTGACCCCATTCCTGAGATTGGCTCAGGGAGCGGGGCCTTCCCTGTCACTGAAGAAGAGGTGAGTGAATGGCAAATTTCCTTTGTAAGCCAGTGGTGAACTTTGCTTATTTCAAACCTAATGGTGACTTGGAAACCATAGAGAATCAGGAGGGTTTTAGTTGGACTGCCCCTGTCCTCGTGATATGTAGAGGCAAGGTTCCCTGGGCTCCGGGATGCACCAGGCAAGGTGGAGGAAATGCGACCCCCGCTCATCCTCACACCTGCCTAGTGATGCATGCCAGTCCCTCACCATGGAAACCACCTCCCTCCTGCTCCATTGTGGAGACTCCTCAGCCCTTTGAGCCCCCTTCAAGACAGAATCACATTAACTGCAGGTGTGTCCATGCTATTGCTGGGTGATGGTTCTTCCACCTGCAATGCCAGCAGTATCTGAAATGCTGGACACAGTAGGGTACAAAACTAAAGCAAATGTAGCTCTCTCACAATGACCCCTGCTAAAAACTAAAGTGCCAGATCATTTCTTCCCTCTCCTGGGATGCAAACTCAGACAGTTCTCATCTCTCCCAATCATCTGGTCACACTTCAGATTTTTCACAGGTATTTCACTTGGTCAGTCCAGGATAATATAAAAAAAAATTAACAAAAATACAAATAAGTCCCCCCCCCTTTGCAGGTGTAGGCCTGGTGCACACCAGGATCACCCAGGGAAGGAAGCACTGTTGGGGGGTTTCCTCTCTATTTCCTTCTTTCTCCTCCTCACTTCCTGTGGCCCTGGAGCAGCTGCTTTTAACAGCTGCACCTGGAGAGGAGGGCCCAGCTGGGTGAAATTAGGATCTGGGCCTTTGGTGGGGAAGATGCTGGAACTTTCTCTTGTGGCGGCTCTTGAGATTCCTCCGAGGTCCTCCTGCAGGAGACCTAGGAGGACCAAAGTTCCACTGCTGGCCTTTAAACCTCTGCCTGGGCTTCCACACCCTCTGGATGGGCCTCTGGGTAGAGGCCATAGCTTGATGAATTTAACCAGCTCCCTTTGCAGGGATTATATCTTGCCTGTGTCCAGTAAAACAGCTGCAGACAGATTCCCCTCGTCCCTATGTCCCCCTATATCTCTTTCTCCCATTCCCTCTCCTCTGTCCCCTTTCCCTTCCCTCTCTGGATCTAGATGGTCCCTTACTTTCCCCTTTTGTCTCCCTGGAAAGCATCACACCAGTCCCTGTGTCTCCCAAATTCCAGAGTATTCACATCCAGCTTGCCAGATGGTTTTTGGGAGGAGAGGAGAGAGAGAAAGAACAGCACTCTGAAAATCCTTTCCAAAGAAATTTTTCCTCACCAGTCACTCAGCTCCCCTCTCTATCAGGGAGGTAGGATGGCCTGAAACTGGTAGAACTGCTGTCACGCCATTGTCTGTTAGCATGTCCCCATGAGTGAGGCAGCCACTTCTTTTAGCACGTGGAAGTTACCTGATGGCTGTGGAATCAGGTGGATTTGGAATTTGCAAATGGAATTGTACTTGCCCTTCGGGGCTTTAGCTGATCCTGAGTCAGAGAGAGAGTCTCAATTGATATCCTGTGACGTCATCTTTCTTATGTGTCTTTATGGGGAGAGGATAAGTCTGCAAGGACAATATTTATGTGAAAGAAGAGCTCTGAGGACAAGTACGTTTGGGAAATGCTCTGACTTTCCCTTCATATAGGCCCTGAGAAGTCCTGCAGCAGGAAATCTGTCTTGGATCAGCCCACTGTGTTTAGTATTCAAAAGCAAAAAAAAATTAAAATAAAAATAAAAAATGAAAAACTTTGAAAAATAGACATAAAACATAGCCACTTGAGGACACTGGCAGCCAGAGCCGCTGTTTCCATTTGTCCCCTTGCTGTGTCACTTTCTTGAATTCATCCTGTGTATTGCCCAGAGGAAGCCGAGTCATGGGAAAGAGAGGACAGAGGAATAGCTGGCCTCGAGAAGGCTGAGGAGGACGAAGGTGCTACTTGCGCATCTCTGAAGCCTTCGGGCAAAGACATTGTCCTTTTGTCTGGACTGGTGCATGTGGACAGGGGTGGCAGAAGTCCCTGTGTCCAGGCAGAAGCATCAGAGCTAGAGCAAACTGACTCAGGAGGCAGCGATCACTCCTCACCAGAGGGGCAAAGACACTGAGTCAAGCAGGGGACTGAGGTGCCCAGCAATCTGTCCTGTCCCCGGCTTCTGCAAATCTGAGACAGGCGTGGGGCTGGGGTGGGGTTGTAGACGTGGAAGTGCCTGGGGTAAAGGAGCTACAGAAATGCGTGCTGGAGGGGAGCAGGCTGTCTGTTCTCTCCACGTGGACCAGGACCAGGGGCCCAGTGATGTGGTCTCCTGTGATGTCTGTGTTTGCAGGGGTTAGCAGCAACAGCAGCAGGAGAGGTTGAAGTGCCTGTCAGTACCACCCCAGAAGCGGAGCTCAGCAGTTCGCCCACTGGGAGATCAGCCCTGCCTGTGTCCACCCAGGATCCCGGGGAAGGGTTCACTTCTGTAAGTAACTCAAGTGCCTGCTGTGCGCCTCCTGCTATCAGGGAGGGGGTCAACCCAGTTGGAGCAGTCACTAGCCTTCCTCATCTCCCTGCAAAGTGCAGAGTAAAGCCCTGGGAGGCCAAGTCTGGGTGGCTCTGAGTAGGAGGTTGAGGTGTGGCTTCACCAATTGGGCAAGAGTTTGTGGAGGGCTGTGGCCTGCTGGCCCTGGAGTGGGGACAGATGGTAAATAGGATGGTCCTGGTTTCTGGAAACTCAGTAGTAAGAGGTTCAAGAGCAGAAGCTGTTGTTGCTTGGTGAGCACAGAATAGGGGCCCAGAGACCAGCTTTGGGGTGAAGGAGGTAAAAAGTGAGCCTGGGAGGCGGAGAGGAAGTAGCTGGGCAGATGGGAATGGGACAGGTGTTCCATGAAACAGGGTGGCAGAAGCAAGGCCTGCGGCCTCGTAAAACAAAACAAGTACAGTGTGACCATGGGCCTCTGTGAGGCCTCTGAGACCGTGGCAGGGCAGGTTTGAGACTCCGTCAAGGAGCCTGAGGGGATCCAGCAGAAGTAAGGTGCCATTGAAAGGTAGGAAACAAGGAAGAGATGTGGTCAGATTGGAAATCGGCCTTCCCAGGGGAGAAAGATTGGGGGCCTCCAGCCTCCACCGAATTCTCAACATGAACCTGAGTAAGGTTGAGGGAGCAGTTTTAGATGTGGGAGGAGTGGAGCCAGATGGCACTGTGCTAGGAAGAGCAGGAGACAGTGAGTGGTCAAGTGGTCAGTGAGTACAGATAGCTCCTTCAGCAAGAAGACCCTGGAGCCCACGGCCTGGGGTTTTACCCCGACCCAAGGACTTCAGTACCCGTGAAGTTCTTCACTTGGGACCGGTGGCAGAGGTTAGAAGAGACCACTGGAGAGCAAGTGTCACCCGAGGGTGACATGGCGCAGCTGTTTGCTAGGGTGATGGGGGCAGGAGTCTATATTCCCACACTGATGTCACACTGTGGGCACAGGTGCAAGGTGCCATCTTGGTTGAGTACTTGCTTGGAAGGTGCAGGAGCGACAGGATATAGGTGCACAAGGGGCCCTATCTGTGTGCTCCCTCCGGCAACAGCCCAGTGGTCCATGGTCAGGTCCACTGCCATGGTCCCTCAGCATGCCTTTCTGTTTAGGGACTGGATAATGAAGGTTTAGCAATGACAGCAACAGGGGAGACTGAGGTGCCCGTCAGCACTGCTGGGGAAACAGAGGCTGGCAGCATGCCCACAGGGGAGCCGGCCCTCTCCACATTCACCCAGGACTCTGGGGAAGACGCCACCCTGGTAAGGAGCATGAAGTGTTGGGATTGGGTACTGGCCTTCTCAGTGTGGGTCCCACACTCAGCAAGTCTCCTGTGGGGAGGGGGACAGTTCTCTGACTAAATGCTCTCTCAGGGGTGGAGCTCGCCAGGTTGGGTTGGTGTGTGGCACAGCCCCGGTAGGGCAGTGGGGAGGGGAGCCAGCATGGGGGAAAGGATCCAGCATGAGGGTGGTGGCCAGGTGGGAGTGGGAGAGGAGATGGAGTTGCAGCTGGCTATCAGAAGGGACAGCAGGGTGTCAGGGTGCAGGCAGACCAGGCCTAGTAGGGTAGAGGGCATGGCCAGTCCTGCTCACCCACGTCTGCCTGCAGTGCAGAGACTGCCCAGCTCCTGAAGCTGAACATAAGTCCTCCAGGCACTGGATGGGACTGTCCCGACAGCATCCCTATAATAGATTCTATAATAGTCCCTATAAAAGATTCTCAGATTCTTCACTCAGTAGATTCAAAGCTAACTCCTGATGTCCACTTCTGCATTCCCACCATAGAAGTGGACCATCCATCTCCCAGTGGGCTAGTGCTGAATTCTTTTCCCCCTTCCTTACATCCACATCTCATCAAATATGGAGTCTAAGTGATTTTTCCACCTAAACCCCTTATGACCACTTCTGTCCTCCAGTGCCATCCCCTGGACTAAATGGTGCCCCCAGATCAGGGGATTTCTCAGACCCTCCCTGGCCTCTCTGGCCTCTGTCTCCAGTCCTCTCTGGGGTATCAGCCCTCTGCTGGGGAACTTCCCATCATCCTGACCCACAGACACGAGCAGCCTTGCAGGGTCTGGCTGGCCACTCGTGCTGACCACATCTCTGGCTGGTCTCTCCCCACCCTCTTGCTTTGGCCCTGCTTCCCACCCCCATCTTCTTCCAGTCTCTTGAGCAGATCTGTCCCTCTTGCCTCACAGCCTTCTCACACCCCTGTATGCTGGGAAGCCTCGTCCTTTCCATTGTGCTCACCTCCAACACCACTTCCTCAGGAAGGGGCCGTCCTTGCCCTTGGAAGGGCCCATCATCCTGTGATCCGTAATGAACCTGCCCACTGGTTCAT